ACTACAAACCAGGACTCCACCCTTTGCGAAGCGAGTCAATTAGTAATTAGCGTTTTCTTTCCTCAAAAAAAGACAAGCTCATCCAGCACGTGAATCCGTACGAATGGCCAAGCAAGGCAATGCCAGTGAATATTCCCGCGTCCTGGAAGAGGCCGCACTGAGTTGTGCACTTCAAGCTACAAGGAAAACTTACTAGTAGCGTCCTTGCTCCTAGTAGCGATGCCCTTTGTTCCTAGCAGTTTCTTGTTACTAGTAGTAAGGCCAAATAGGAAACTTAACCTAATAGCATCAGTTTGTTAAGACGGAACATTCCCTAACAGCCATGGCCTCCAACCTAATAGTTACATGCATGTGTTTTTTTCATGTAAAGCGATAGTCTCCAGCCTACTAACGATGGCCTCCAACCTAAGAGCGATGGCCTCCAACCTACTAGCGATGGCCTCCAACCTACTAGTGATGGCCTCCAACCTAAAAGGAAATGCAAAGAAATACAGAGCCAGCACTATTTATGCTCGTGACCAGCGATACCCCGCAGAGCCCATCATCTCCAAGTCTGCTGTAGGACAATTCACAGGGAAACCTCCCAAAAGATTGCAAAGCTTCAAAGCTGGGGATGTCAACAAAAGGAGGTACAACCATGTCATGATAGGATTCGTGCAAGTTTTTGGGCCAAGCAAATGGGAGTTTGGTGGTCTCGTGTAGGTGGTGCCGGACGTGATAGTGCACACAGCAGCCTCGAGCTCACCGGCCAAGTGCGGCTTGGAGCATTTCCACAGAGCTGAAGGTTGTACCAATGTGACTGTGCCAATTTTTTTCATTGAAGAGAACGTTCCTTCTGAAGACAACGCACATGCTGCATGCTTGCTTTTTGTGACTAAGATCATGTGAGGTGAGGCGGACGAGGAAGCCACGATGCAGCAAAATGTGCCAAAGGGCTTTGCTCAGAAAGCCAAGGAGGTCAATGCTTCAGTGAGGCCGAAACAGGGTAAAACGGGTAGAAATAACCTCTTGACTCTTGAGATGTCAAGGGGCTCGGAAGAAAATTTGGTGTGTATTGTCCAGGCTCTTGCACTCCAGAGGGAATGATGAAGCAGGTCACAAATGAAGACAGAGATATCTCGAATAATTGGCCAACAGACCAATCCATGACTAGAAGACACAGCTCATGGATCGAAACATGATTTTTCTGCCACCAAATCAGTTGCTGCAGTTAGTGCGGGCTCAATGCTTCCATGGTCTTGACCCCTGCGCCTGCAGCATGGCAGGTTTATTTTCCTCTCGACTGACCAGGTGTTGGATGGCAAAGGCAAGCAGCTAGGACTCTGGAATTGGTGTTATTTGTTTGCATCTGTCACTGTGCATTGCTATGTGTTCAGGCGGTTCACTCCTTTCTCTATTCATTAAGGAGCCGTATCATAGTTGATGGTACGGCTGCCATCAGTGAGGTTTGTTGCTTGTGAGGCCATCTTGTGGACGAAGAAGCAGATGCACGACCAGTCAATGTGACTCGGTGTAAAGGACAGTGACGCGCTTGTCAACGCTTTGAGGCTGAGAAAACATATCCGTTTGTCATAGTGGACCAGTCTACCGGTAAGAAGACATGCGTTCAACCATATCCAAGCTCCAATCATGTCCCATTCTAGATGTTGATAGAAGTGGGGTAGCAGGTTTCCTGGTTCTAGTTGATTTAACATTGCCTTTCATCAATCAGCAATTGTGGACTCAGGTCTATGGAAGATCGAAGCTGGAGATGGAAAAGGCCGCTTGGGGACAACCCGCCTTTTCTTTCACTCTCTTTGATATCAAAGAATCAAAGATATCAAAACAAACGGCTGAGGTTGTGAAGGCGCTCTTCGACAATCATGCGATCTTTCGACTATCGTTGCTGAGCCACACTGGGTTCAAGGGAGTCGATGGGCAATTGGATGCAGTGGCTCTGTGAAATCTACTTTTCCTCGGACAGATAAGAACCAACATGCGCTTCGTGTTTTTTGTTTCTAACCTACTAGAGACGGGCCTCCAACCTACTAGCGACGCACTTGTTTACATGTAAAAAAGACCGAGGTTCATCTTCGGTCCGGAAGTGGAAGGCGCCCACAGCACCTTCCTACAGTTTGCCTTGGAGAAGCTGCGACAGAAGAAGGAGTTCAACGCCTTCGCAGATCAGAACCTTGAAAGGAGAAAGTCTGCTTTAGTAGCAAGGGAATGCTTGATATCAGAGGCCACATGTGATCCCTCACAGCGCATTGACGTGTGTGTGTGTGTGAGTGGATATTTGTCGTACTTGTTTGCTTGTTTGCTCCTCCGTTTTTCTCCAATCTTTTGTTTCTACTCTAATGTCAACAGTAAACTTGCAACTTAAAAACACCAATCCTTTTGGATTGCCTTAGCAGTGAGGGCAATCCCTTCACACTGCAATCGCAATGGTATTCGGAGCTGCACATCAAGAATGTGACCTTGCCCTGAATTTTCATGAATCAACTAATGAAACTGCACTGTTTATCACTTTCAAGGCTGAATATAATAGGCAGAACTCCACCACCATGCTAAAGTCTGGACTGGACTTGAATCCAGAACGACAGGAACTATGGAGAGCTAGGCTTCGATTATTTAGGTGTTCACGGAGTCCATTGATGGCAAAGATGTCGTTGTGGCATCCATTTTGTTGAAAGGATCGCTTTGTGGATGCACTGCAATGTCTTTTCTGGTTTGGTGTCGTTTTCCAGCATCAGACAGGGCCTCAGGCAGCCTGGTCAGTTTATTTTTGGAGTGAGTCCTCCACCTTCAAACTCTTGGGTCCCGGCTTCTCACCAAAAAACGGATATTTCCTTGGCCGCAAACAACTCGCCTTTTTCAACTAATCCGATCCGAAAGCTGCATGACTTGGCACTTGGCGCTTTAGGATCCGATCCTGCATCTTCATTCATGATGTCGTGGAGGCCTTGCGTTTGGCCGTGAAGGCACGGAATTTGGTCACTCGAACACTTCGAACACTCGCATCATTTTCTTGGCAATTGGTGCTCCTTTGGTGTTTGAACACGGCAAAAGTTTTATCCTGGTGATTCAACCTCGAGGTATCACCAGGATTTTGAGGTTCTTGCAATCGCTTGGTTCACGTCATGCGGTTTTAGAGCCAAGTTGACCTGAGGCACGGTACTACAAACGGTTTTTAGGGTGTACCCGGTGTACCACCTTCTCACAGTGTTCGATTTCAGACTCAAGGTGTTGCCACAAGAAACCAGCCCATGGGGCTCTTCACACACAACCAACCATCGGAATCCAGAAGCATGTTCATGAAGCTCTAGGTGGCAGATGGTCAAAGGGAGTTTCTCAGCTGGGTTTTGAGTGAATTCTGAGGGCCACATCGAGGGGACAGTGAACCTTGGAGGTGAGGGGCCGGCCGTTCAGGGTGGGCTGTGAGGGACGTCTGGTGGGCACAAGGTTTCAACCACAGCCACAGGCATCATATTTTGGCAAGGCTCAGGTGGATCAGATGAATGTCATATAGGTGGGTGATGGCGGGGCGAAGCTTGAAGGAAGAACCTTGTATACCGTCGCTTTGCTGCATCCATGTAGATAGTTGCTTTCTGAAGCTGCCACAGCTACTTCCCTTGCCCTACGCACAACTTTCCCTACAGGAAGTCAAAAGCGTTCTTTCTACATTGCGACATGAGAGGACCCTCAGTACATTTCAGGATCCCATTCTTCACCGCACAGGACCTGAGGCCTTGTCCCGGCTGGACTTTTGCCGAATCGTGGCCAGACATGTCGGCATGGCCGAGTCCATTGTTCAAGGCTCGTATCAAGACAATTGGGAGTCAAAGTCAACTCAGAGTCTCAATAGAGTATCATCAAAATCATCTTCGAGGTGATGTTCCTCCTGATTTTTGAAGCTTTTGGCAGCTTCCCACTTTTTGGATAGCACCTTTCCATGGATTGGAAGCTTTGCATCAACAAATGTCAACTGTTAGGTTCAGCCTACGATCTCCCAACTCCATCACCTGCCGACATTTCGATGAATATTGCTCGTTTGCGCACGGCGACGCTTGTTTCGGCAATTGAAACGGGTCTTCTTTGTAGACAGGAGTGCCAAGGCCGTTAGATGTAGGAAGAAGAACAGCTATTGTGAGTTCCACGTGTTTCTGGCATGCCTTTGTACAGTGTTCTGTTTTCATGTTTTTTGCTAGTTGTTTCTGTTTGACATTGGTCCATAGCCTTTGCTTGAGGATGGGTCGATCCACAGTGTCCTTGGCTGATGCACTGGCCACCATGGACGCAAAGCTTTGAGTAGCATGCGTACAAGGCAACCCTCAGCTCGGAGGCATGAGCAACACTGGGTTCTTTGACCAAGTCGTGTGTAACAGTTGCTTGAAAAAGCAACGGACCATGAAATCTATTCGTGTGAGCTACAAAGAATGGCTCTGTGTTTTGAGAGTCGGCTGCGTGGCTGAAAATAGCAAGAGATCTAGGAGCAAGAATGCTACTAGGGGCTCCTGGCATCGCTACTAGGAGCATTCTTTCTACTAGGAGCAATAAGCTACTAGGGGCTCCTGGAAAGCAAGAGTTCCAAAAGACTCTACCGGCACAAGGATTATCCACATGTTAGTTTCTGCCTAGGGGGCACTTATCATAATAGCAATGGCCTCTAACCTAATAGCCATGGCCTCCAACCTAGTTTGGCTGCAGTTTCGCATCGGTTCCATGTTTGATCACTCGAAGTTGATCTACCGAAGCTTCGCCGGGCGTGCCTTCGCACGCCTTCGCTTTTCGAGGTCCTGCCAGCTCCACGCGCCCTGCAACTATTGCAGGTACCAATCCTGTTGGTTTGGGAATGTGTGGGCTGGGGTGTTGAGTGTATCAAAGCGGAATTCTGAATTTGTAGCTTGCACTGTTTGCCAAACAGCGACTTGGTCCTGATCTGTTGACCCTTCGAGTAAAAGGATATCCGTGCCCACCCGCAGCTGTTTGGCCTAAGAGTACTGCCGGCACCTTTTTGCTGCATGTCGACTATCTCAAGGTTCATCAAATACATCCCTGTCTTGAACTTGTTCTATGATATCTTCTTCAACGGGACACCATCGATTGAAGCGATCAAGGATTCGTTGAACGTGCAGGCCCTCCTGAGTGCATTGCTGATTGCCATTGTGATCTCATACCCTGGGGCTTTTGAATATGATGAGCTTAAGGAGGCAACCCTACGAGTCGGAAGGTGCTACTATGCATTTGATCCGGACCCTTTCATGGCAGCCAACTATCTTCGAGAAGAAGTCTTTTATTCGACCCTTTTTCTCAGCAACAATGTTTTAATGGTGGTTTTGGTGTACCTATCTTTGGCTGGATTGAAGTTGAACGATGAGCTGGGGGAAGAGCGCTTTGAAAACTGGTACTACTACGTGCGCTTCCTGCTGGTATTCATGACCTTGTTTATGGTGGCAGGTGGGGCCAGTGGCAGCCGCACGATCCGACCCAGATTTGCCCCAGAAAGTAGCTGCTTTATTGGTTCTAATAGCTTTGTTACTACTAGTAAGGCACTTGTTACTACTAGCGATGCACTTGTTCCTAATAGCTTTATTGTTTCTAATAGCTTTTTGTTACTACTAGTAAGGTACCTGTTACTACTAGCGATGCACTTGTTCCTAATAGCTTTATTGTTTCTAATAGCTTTTTGTTACTACTAGTAAGGCACTTGTTACTAGAAGCGAGGCACTTGTTACTAGTAGCTTATTGTTTCTAATAGCATGAAATCTTTAAATTTGCTCATTCATAAAGTAGCTCTAACTTGAGACAGCTGCTCCGACCATGCTGCAGGTGTGATTACATTTGGCCGGTGCTCCTTCTTTATGTTTATTCTCAAGTTCCCGGTTGCTGAGGAGTACGAGAACTGTAGTGGCGGTAAGACTGGAGAGGATTCCCCTTTCGCCTTGCAGAGAGACTTGGGCAATATCATTTGGTTAGGGACTATTGGCTTCGTGCTGATCGTCTTGAGCCTAGCGCATTTCTGGCAACTTCGAATGGACGAGGGCCAAGGCAAGTCTGAGGAAGTTACCTCAACTCCTGTGCTTCAGATTGTTCCACGCCCTCATGAGGATGACTGATTGGCTCGTCCGAAAAGATGTATCGTGGCCCGAAGACTCTTGATCAATTATTTCAAGAAGGCAAGTGGACATCGTTTTTTGGGGGGACCCTTGCATAAGATTCTGCATTTCCAGATATATTTGTGGGATGTATTTTCCGGTCAGTCTCACCCTCTTGAGCGAAGGATGGGCGTTCAAAGTTCAAATCTGTCCCCAGTTACCACACCACGGCCCTTCCAAGAATTGAAAACTGGCAGTGTTCAGCGCCCAAAACGGGCGAACTCACAAACTCTGCTCGTTGAACTTGTTTGGAGGAAATTCCGAATGGTTGACAAGGTGTCTCAAATGGACTTCCGCAACTTCTTCATATCGACCATGTGTGTTGCTGGGTTAGCTTCCCAGTAATTGAAGCGGAAGTTTTTGCTTTGAGTCATCCCCCACAGTTGGCTGCTTGGTTTCACCTTTCTCGACGAAAAGAAGGCGCGCTTTTGCAACAGCGAGGGGAGCTTGACCCGCTTGCCCAATGTTGTTTGCCTTCCACCTTTTGAACATTTTGTGGTTGAGATCGACTGCATCAACTGCGGGACTGTTGCAGCCACGAGTTTGGCATATGTTCTCAGGATTTTGCACCCTCTTCGGCGAACCAGACTGAACATCGCATGAATCGAGTACCTGTCACAGGAACCCCCTGGATCGGTTGATGTTGGGAGCCATGAAGGCTACAGAAGGCTCCACTGACCGCGTATGACCGCGTTCCCTAAAAGTCGAGGAACCACATGAATAGCGTGAGCTATCCTGCGTCCAGTAGGTAGATGTAGGTAGTAGCTAGTTGCCCTCACCCTTAGGCGCCTACTTAAGGGCGGGCTTTCAAAAAAGAGCAAAGGACTACTTGTTTTGGCACGTTTCCACTCGCTGGCCGGAGGCTGTGGAATCTGCTGCAGCCTTGAGTGGAGCGGCACTCTTTGCGCGAAGGAGAGTAGCGAAGCATAGCGAAGCATGGCGAAGCTGTCGAGTTCTCCTTCTTCGCAGCTAGGGACATAGGATGACATAAGTGGCAGCAGGGGACATAAGCGACATCGATCCCCTAAAGGATGTGTCAACGTTCACTTCGCAGGAGTAGCCTCTCGAGTTTCTTCGCAAACTTTAGTTCCTTGGATGCAACGCCGAACAAGTGCATCGCTAGTAGTAACAGGTGCCTTACTAGTAGTAACAATGTTCGCTAGTAGAAACAAGTGCCTTACTACTAGGAACAAGTGCCTTACTAGTAGTAACAATGAACGCCTTCGACTCTTTGAGTGGTGGAAGAGCGGGCTCTACTGGATTCTGTTCCTCAAGACTGAAAGCAGGCGAATGCCGAATGGACTCGGCCACCGGAAAGCTGTTCGTGACCCAGAGCGGATGACCAGAGGTTTCTGTGGCGAGTTCTTGGAGCAGTTGCTGTTGCTGGGGATCAGAAGGATCGGAGCAAACAAAGGAAAGACATTGGTTCTTTTTTGTTGTTTACTGGTAGCGATGCCCTTTCTTGCTAGTAGCTTCTTGTTCCCTGTCAGCTGAGGGTCTCTAGATTTTCTGTCAGTGATGCCACCGCCGCTTGCTCCACCTTGTCTTCCTCCTTCTGTGTGCAAGTGCTTTGCAGTTTGTTCAGTGAGACCTTTGGACCTTCCACTCCATCCTTTCATTTGCTACTTTCAAGTGGGTGAAGCTGCTTGTTGTTGGATGTTCCTAAGCGTGTATCAGAACGGTGTCCGTCGCAATGGAACCGATCCGAGACTTGACACGGAATTGGGTAAGTGATGATCGAGCACTGATTAGTGCATGATGTGCATAAGTGCAGGTGTTGATCGAGTTTCCTTTCCAAGACCGTTCAATGGTTTGATGATGGTCAGCTTGTGGCTTTTCGTCGACTTCTAGAACACCTAGGTAGCCAATGCGAACAACTGTTTGGAATTGGTGGACTTAGTCGCATAAACGATGAGGTGCGGTGGTGAGTTCGCAGAGAAGCCCTCCGAAGCGCGAGAACTCAGGGGGAAAGCGTGCAACGGGAGACCAGAATTGGCTCGAACGAAGTGCTTATCATGGCTGTTTCAATAGGAAGGAGGTGAAAGATGCCGAAGCTGCCTGTGTTGTACTTGATTTGCGAGGTAGGAATGGATTCTGTGATGTGGCTCACAAGCTTTCTCCCTCATGGAATCAAATGCATTGGGGTGCCAACATATCCTTGCTACCCACCAAGAACATATGCAACACAGAAAACATGTTTCAGATTTGTATGAGAGCACACTTTCCAAGAATCAGCATCACCCTTGCAGAATGCTATGGACTTGATCACCATGTCATGCAACAGATTCTTTCCCTCTTCATCGAACAAAAGAGATCAGCTCCCAAGCAGGTTGTTTGGTGTTTCTGTGTACAGCTATGCCGCTCCGGGATCCGTGATCGGAGCCTCGATGAGCGGCGCGCTGATTCTGCAGAAGAAACCCAGTGGAACATTATGCCGAGCAGATGATATGACAGAGATCACAGTCATGAATTCATGCATCAGAATCTTCCGAAACATCTCTATGGTTACACAATTCAGAATTCGTCACCAGCAGAGTAGGTCAAACATGATGCCGGGATGGATGCGAACATCCTACGGAAGTTGGCCACAAAAAGGGAGTAGGTCAAGGACGCTACTAGTAACAAGTGCATCGCTACTAGTAACAAGTGCCTTACTAGTAGCAACAAGAAGCTTATTAGAAACAATAAGCTACTAGTAACAAGTGCCACGCTAGTAGTACTCCAAGATGTGAAAGTCGATGCGTTTGGATAAATTGTGCGTCCCAGCTTGGGGAAAGATTTTTGGAAGTCGATGCACAGTTGCGTCCTGCTGGTGTTTAGCAGATAGACCTTTTCTCAGAAGATGACTTTTCCATGCACATAGTGCACACCAGAAATCCAATAAAGCCGCCGCTAGGTTGCAAACTGGTTGTGACAAAGCGAGCGCTGTTGGTGTTCTTACTTCAAGTAGAGGAAGTGGTACCTGTGTGTGCTTTGCAGCCTGGGTTTGTGCGCATTGAAGCCTGCTGCTACTGCTGCTGCCTGGCTGCTGCTTGTTTGCTGCTTGTCTGCTGCGGCTGCTGCTGCTGCTGCAGCAGCTGCTGCTGCTTGTCTGTTGCTGCTGCTGCTTGTTTGTTGCTGCTGCTGCTGCTT